TTTTTGTCTATTTCATGTTACTCCCCAGTGCCACAGTGGTATGTCTGTGGACTTGCAATACTAGAAGCCAGGTTTCAATACCGTGGTTGGCAGAGCACAGATAGCCCTTTGTGTAGCTTTGTGCTTAACTGCAAACAAACAATTTCATACCTGTTAATTTTTATGTGTATTTTAATTTTTGGTAATTTTGTTTTTGGTCACAGTTATCTGTGTTTTTAATTAAAAAATTAAAATAACAGTATTATCCAGTTAGTGGGTATTCCATTATTTGTTTTATTTATCAAAGTTACCTATGGTCATGTAAGTTTCTGATGTTTTTGTAGAAGCTGTAACAAGTTTTGTAAAATGTTAATTTACACAGTATATATAGTTTTGTTTTTCAAGTTAATTGCTTTCATTTTGCTCTTTCTTTTTACCATATAGAGTACACTGGACTGAACTTTACTTTATAGATATTAAATCTAATTTATTTTAAATTCAAGAATGTCAGATTTCCTTGCTTTGAATAGTCCACTTCTGTTAATTTTCATACATAATTCCTGGATTTTTACAACTGTAGTTTGCTTGTCACATAAGATTGTACTTATTCCTTCATTAATTTATTCGATAGTAGTATTGTTAGAGTATTCTTTATATGTCAGTGATCTGATGTGCACTTGCTTAGACAGCAATACTATAATGTTTAAGTTTTTATTCTTATTGGCATGGTAACAATGAAAAGGAATTAGTTATGTTACATATGTTTTTTTTTCTAACATCATGAATTTTTGATTACCAGTTTTCCTTTCTCTTTGTTCCAAGATAGTAACAAGCAGACATAAAAGTTTAATGTTTCGAAATATATGGCATCCTAATGGATAGCGGTTTTCCTTCATGTACATTTTCTTAAGTTATGCATTAGTGTGCCATTGGCTATTCCTCTGAAAATATTTAAATTTTTTTAGTCTGATTTACTAGTTGTTAACCAGAGACTTTAACCCTTTAAACACTTTTCTGTGCAAGTCTCTGAGTTAAGTTCAAAATTTAATTAACCACCTTTACTAATAATCTATGTGAATGAAATTAACATTATAATGGATGCTATAATTCAAAGTTTGATATTATCTAGGTTTTAATTCCTTTATTTCAAGAGCAACCTTTACAAAATACTTAAACTTCAGTTTTGTAGGAATTGACAAAATGTATTACTTGTTTCTACTCCATTTAGCCAGAGAACTTTGAAACTTACTGTCAATAGGGCAAGTAAAAATACTTAATAGTGTAGACATACATCTACAAGATTGACATTATCTGAATCAAGACAGGAAGTGTGAAAGTTGATATTTTTCATAGCTTGTGGGTCATATAACAACATTTAGTTAAGAAAACCTAAGTGCTATCAGAGATCAAGCAACAATACTGCAGGCATTTATATATACCACATAACAAGTGCCTGCCAATTTCAAAATAACCATTGTTGGCTTAAATTATAAAATGAGCTCTTTTTAATGACTATACACATATATATTTAGCAACTTCATGTATATTATAAAGCTCAAGCAAAAATACAGAAGGTGGGAGTGGCACCCATCACCTAAATAAATTTCAAACATATTTTTCAATAAAACTACATATTTTATCCAAGAGTGAGATCTTAAGCCTTGAGAACTGATGCAAAATATGATGTATATTTAAAAGATGTTTAAACCTTTCCATTATGCATAAAACATAAATAATACATAATCAACTAAGATATAAAAGAAAGCCCTAAATACAATTTAACTGTCTTTCTAACTATAACACTTTAAAATTTTTGTCAAGATCTTCCTAAACATTAGCTGAATACTAAGGAGTGGAGTAGTGAATGTTTAACTCTCTCACTACAGTAGATTTGACCTAAAATTTGAACCCAATTTGACCTTTAGAGATTCCATACTACATGTTCTAATAAGTTTTGTGTGTCTTCATGAAATTTTGCAATCTTTCATTAAGCAATAAGTCATTCATAGACATAAAATCAGGACTTTTAATGAAGTATTTTCACTAAACAATTTTCCCAGCATACATGGAGTCAAAGTGTTAAGTGCTCCAAGTGCAAAGTGGTTTTCATGTTAAGATTAAACATAATTTTCCACTTCTAAAAAATCTCAAATTTCATTTTCTTAATCTCTAAAACCTTTTACATAAGATTTTATTTACACTTGTTTTGTGTGTTTTGAAAATTTAGATATTTTAGTGAAAATGCTTTATGTGAGAAATTTAACACACTATCACTGGTGTTATCATAAAAAAAATAAGATGTTTATTTACTTGTGGATTTTAGGATCAGAAATTAAAGAAGATTTTGTCCAAGTCCTTCAAAACAGATTAGATGATGCAGTTTTGGATATGATTTCTGTGATGCTAGAAAGGAATCCGATGTGCAAATTAACTCCTGAAGATGTGCAAGTAAGGATTTTAATTCCAAGTTTATGTTCAAAGAATGCAAAGTGATTTCTTTTATCTGTCTATCTCTATATGTGTACTGATTAGTGAAGGATCTCTGTAGATGGCCTTGTGGTTATCATGTCCAAACTGTGAATCTGAGGATTTGTGGTTCATGATCTGTTACAGAAAAACTTGCTTTAATACTTTGAGGCCATGGGTGCACAATGGGAGTGATCATCAAATCATATTCCTTGATCAGACAGGGCCGTCACAAGAGTTGAGAAAGTACCTTCCCCTTTTATTTATTACTTGAATATTAGGGACAGTTGTGAGTAGATGGCTCATGTGCACGATTCTGAAACAAACAAAATATTGTTATATATGAAATGCATGTTCTACTTTTTCTTTATAACCAATTTGTATAAATGTCAGGTAAAATGGCTAGTTATTGATTTTAAACTTCACCATGTGCCTTATTAATAGTCTGTTTAAAATTACATTAGTGAATGCTTTGTATCGAAATACTATTTGTTGAATGTGGTTATGTTTTGATTTGCATATGGAATAAGCGTAAATGTGTTTTGATGTCAATATATTTTTTCACGTTATATTAGTATTACTCGATTAGACTTACTTTAGTTTCTATTATATTTGTAATATGGCAAATGTATAAGGCTAGGTGTTGGTTTTACCTTAAATAGCTAACATAATAATTTATCTGTATTATCTAGCAATATTATTGTTTAAATTTTGAAAATGTTGTAAAGTATAATTTATAATTTGATATGAAAAAAGTAGGAGGTGTTTGTAAAATGTAACAAAACAATATAGGAATTGAATGTATACAGTGAGAACAATCCATAAACTCACTGTTAGCATTAGTTAAGACTGTATCAGTCACTAGGTAAAATAGAGCATAATACAGCTATTTAATGGAAATGTAATCTTCTGTTACAATTCCATCAATTATATGTTGTACATCACTATCATATTATCTTATTCCACAAAAGCAAGTAGTAAATAGAAAACTTCAACAGTGTTTGCACATGTAAAATCAATAAAAAGACATTATAATTGGATGGAACTTGTGACTGAGTGTCTTACATTAAGAGGCACATATATGAAAAAGAGAAATAAATTTTCAAGATTTTTTTTAGCCTTTCATGATTTGTTAGGAGTACTGACTCTTTGTCATGTTTCTATTAATCCTTTTCCTGTATTTTGCTATAAGGCATACAGTATAATGGCTATGTGTATGTATTCGTTGTGCCATATAATCCATGGCATGCCTTGTTTTTTCCATATATATATCTGCAGAGTTGCAGTTCACATAGCTACACATATTGTGCATCCCAGGGAAATTCGCAAGTGTTTTAGTGTTTATGTTATGTCTAAGTCACATGACAAAGTTCATCTGAGTATTACATATTTTCAACAGGATACTTTTTATTCACAGAAGTTTTGGGATAAATCCTACAGTTTCTTCGACATTAATCGATTTACTTTTACAGCTGTTTATTGCTGTTTAGCCACAATAAAATTAAAAAAGAAAAGCGGGTTTATCTGTGTTTTCACTTGGACGAAAGGTTTCTCCTTCTATCATGTCAGAAAAACCAAAGCAGTGGATGATGGAGAAGCCTCAAAGTTTATTCCAATTAAGTTTTAAATGTTGGATCCTGTAAGGTGCTCCATGGATGTATATTATGTATTTCAAGATGAATAAGTTACCTATCTGAGAGCAATAGGCCTAGAATTGTCGTGCAGTTTTGAGGGATATGAAAAGGAGAAATATAATTATGATGTCAGAAAATAATGAATTATAATATGAAATTACAAGAAATTATAAACATTCTGTTTTAGTGGCTTTGAAATTATATAGCAAAAACCTATAATTAAATTACCAAAAACAAAATGTTTTGTACAAGAAATAAATACTGCTGCCTTAGTGAAGGGATAATTGAATGCATTGAATTTTTTTCAGTTGTTGAATAATTTTTTTTGGTTTACATTACTGAAATGAAGAAAAATTTGCTTTAAGAATTTACAGAAATGTATAACTATGTAATGTTTCTTGCACTTTTAATACAAAAGAAGCTACAAATAAGATTGAAAATAGTAGACAAATACGAAAATTAATTAATTAATAAATAGTGTTAGAGAAGCTTGTATATGCATGTAGATTTTGTTATAAAATCTTTTTTGTGCTACTTCTGCAGTTCATTCAAAAACCTGGAAAGAAACCAGCATCAGTGTTTCATTTTACCATTCCCACTCAAACTTATCTTCATGCTGTGGAAGTGTACTTGCGACAGAATTTGCTCAGTTTCTTGAATAATCCCAAATATACTGACAGTAGGGCAGAGAATCATTTCAAGGTACTGATGCATTTATAGTTCAGCTTCTCTCTGTGTCAAAAAATTGCCCATACATTTTGTTTTTATATTGTTTTACAAAGTATGTTAGCTAAGTTAATTATGTTATATATCCAGTAAAAGTTTTGATTTTTTGAATTACTACACATTTTTTAAGGTAATTATGTTGACTGTGAACACTTAGTGTGTATTCAACAGCTATGCAGGTATGAACAAAGAAAGCGTAAATTTATATTTGTAGGAAAAAGTAATTGTAATATCAATATCAATTAGATCTGAAGAGTTTGTGGAATTTGCAAACTAATCACTTGTTCTAACATGAGATTTTTATAGTTAAAATGACTGAAAATAATCTTGAATGCAAATTTCAATTAATTAGTTGTTTTTATGAGTCATAACACTAATCTATTAAACTGAACAAACTTGATTTAATATAAAATAGTAATGAGAAATAATAATACCAATATTTTTATTACTTGGATAGTTGGAATAATCCATCAATAACAATTAGAAACACTAATTTTGTTTAGTTCTTTATTGTTATAACAGTAATGATTTTACATGACATTAATGTAATCAATGCTCATAGGTAATCAATTATATCTATTAATTGAGTCAATCACCAAGTTCCAGCTGTAAAATAATTCTTCCATCATATTATTAACTCCTCTGAGTCCTTTTCAAAACGTCTGTTATTTCTCAGTTAAAGAGACCATAACTGCACTCAGTGTTCTACATGAGGCTTGACTAGTGATGTGTACTGAGGTAGTAATTAATTACCTCTTTTTGACTTGTAATCAATATGAATATAAATATGTCCTAAAATTATTTTAGCTGTACTATTGTGATATATGAATATAACACACATTTCTTTCTTGTATTATTATTATAATACTTATTATTAATTTTTTTGTTTATGTCAAGAAACTTGTTCAAGTTCATCTCTTGCTAAAACTAATTAATTAAGCTAAACAACCTTGAATTAACCAAAAATAATAATGAAAAACCATAATCACAACATGTTCATTACTTTGATAGTTGGAATAATCAAAAATAGTATTAATTGAAAACACTAATGAATTTAAGCATAATTTTGATTAATGTATAATCTTACATGACACTAATCAATGTAATTAATGATCATAGGTAATCAATTAAAAGTTAATCACCCAGCTCTAGTATCAATGCATTTGTTTAGCATGTTGACTAAAGTCAGTAGTAGTGGCTAATATTGGTTGTTGAATTAAAGGTATTTTAAGTGTAAGTTAAGCAATTAAATCAGGACTACTTAAAAGTACGGTTTTTATATAATTTTGCATACCAGACATAATTTAGTTGCAATAATAGCATAATCACTTGTTTGAATTGCTACATCAATTATTTTTTAATTTTTTTATTGCTGCACCAACTTCATGGTTATTAAGTCATGAAATATAATGTAAAATTTTAGCTAAACAAACATACTTAATAAAATGTAAAACCCAAATTGAGAAGAAATGGGTAAAATCACTGTAATTGAATAGAAAGTCAATACTTTGGCTGTAAGACATTTGGTCTCAATGAATATCATTTGTGGTCAAAACATTGACCACAATTCTCTCATTGAAGTTTAAATTGTTTGCTAATTGCAATGTTTTTTTAACAAAAAGTAGACAAATACTAGAGACAGAGAAACTGGCATTGTAAGTTTTGTTTAATACGTTAACAATAAATCTGTTTTATTTGTATTTTACTTTTATTTATATTTCAGTGATTATGTTAATTGTATGTTTGTTAACTTTGCTTTTGAATTGTATTACACAGCTTCTCTTTTTGTCACAGTTAATGCCAGTTGTGATTTTTTTAGCATTATAATGAGGATGCCTCATCAACATCTGTAGCGGATAATGATGTTTTTCTCTACTGTTTACAACAAGCTTCAGGTACCACTGGAAGTAAAGGTAAACAAGGATTAATCCATACCCATAGGGTTTTTTAAATATATTTTTATAAGCTATCTTTGAAACAAATTGCTTGTGAGTCCTAGACTTTGTTGATTATAGGGTCCTAATGATATACAAGACACACATAAAACTCTTATCAAAAATATCACCAGTATTGTAGTTAATCCTAATAATTTTGACTGGGGTCTCCTATATATACATGTGTATAGGTTAGGTAAACATTTTTTTATTTTACTACAATTTGTTTTGAGCCCAGCATGGCCAGGTGGTTAGGGCACTCGACTCACAATCTGCGGGTTCGAATCCCCGTCCCACCAAACATGCTCGCCCTTTCAGCCATGGGGGCATTATAATGTGATGGTCAATCCCACAATTCGTTGGTAAAAGAGTAGCCCAAGAGTTGGCGGTGGGTGGTGATGACTAGCTGCCTTCCCTCTTGTCTTACACTAGGGACGGCTAGCGCAGATAGCCCTCTTGTAGCTTTGCGCGAAATTCAAAACAAACAAACAAACCAATTTGTTTTGGTCAGCTCTTTATGATGAGCGTTTTGACTAGCAAAAACATAAAATTATTCAATACGAAGCAAAATATGCCAAACCCCAGCAGTAGTAGTGATTGGTATACGTCAGTAATATGAGGATTTTTTCTCTTGCTTGCCATTGTTTATGCTCATTTTATTTGTAGTTTTAGTCTTGCACATACCTATATGAATATAATAGTTTATTAAGTCCCAATGACCCAAAACACTTTTGGGAAAGTAGAACTTAATCATTTAACTCCTGCTGAAGATAAGTCCACTCTCTCAAAACTCCTGGGTTATTGTGTTAAACATAATTTATCAACTTTTGTGGTCATGTGTGCTTTTTATCAAATTGTGTATACATGCAAAGGTCTTAAACTTTTTTTTTATGTGTTGTAACAAAAAAGTTCTCGCATTTCATAGATGCATGTTAAGCTTGTGCTTATAGGCAAAAGTGGAGGGTTTAAGACTGCTTTCTCATGTGTTAATAGTGCGTTCTTAAATGTTAGTTATGAAGATGTCATAAAAATCATAAACCTATATATATGTATATTGGTAAAGTACTTTAATAATTTGTTTTTTGAAAAAGAATATGTAAAAATTATGTTGTGAATACTTATAAATCATCACTGAGTGTACCTACTTGTAAGAATGCACTTAGGAACCTGTTAATCATTGAATGACATGTTTGAAGAAAGTGTAATTCTACTACTGGCATCTTGGTCAAGCTGAGAATCAGCAGTATCTACCAATTTGATAAAAACTAGTGACTGTTAAACTGAAACTGTTTTTAAGTCAAAGGAAGTTGGTATAATTATTTTCCCTCTAATTCTAAATATGCTACACACTATAGTTCTTGGACAGTCAGCACATCTATTCATTAATATTTTTACACGTTTTAATTGTCCATAATCGTATAATAGTAATACATGATATCCATCAATTCTTCATTTTTATTCCATAAAATGTTATTGAATAGAATTGTTTAACTTTTGTAGTATAGATATGAAATTTGTATAATGAATTGAAGATGTTTCAAACTTGTTTTCGTTAGGTATTGCATGTGTTATTTTCTCGATGGTCAATGGTCAAGGTCAACTTGTTGAACACCTTTACTGCCCTCCACCATCACCTCTTGCCTATCAAGATGGTCTCTCAAGTTACGAGTTAAATGAACTGACATCCACAGCTCTTTATGAAGACAGCAGTAATTGTAATAGCAAGACTCCAGGTTTGTTTCAGTAATAACAAAAATGTATTGTTTATTTCGTTCTTTTGTCTGTTTGTCCAGTACGTAAGTTTAGTAACTAGAATGCATCAACAAAGTGAAATCTGTATGGATTAATGATAAGCATATGGAAGTCTGTTAAGAATTAAGTATTGCATCTAATTATTAAAAACTTGTGATGTTCTGCTAGAAATAACATTATTTGTACAGCTTGATACTTGTATACAGAAATTGCAGTGACAAATATTTTTAACCCATTCACCGTGGCTGGGACGTATATTTTCCAGTGTACTGAGAAATATATGTCCCAGCTGCAGTGAAAGGGTTAAAGATAATGATGTTAGTTTTTTTTTTTAATATCTTAAATATTCACTTATCTGTGATTTTTAGATTTATCCTGCACTGTATGTTTTCTGTTTTTTAAATGTTACAGTGAAGTATGGCCGGGATTTACTAAACATGTTTTTAGTTTGTGGAAGTAAGTACCATGGTTGTGTAAAATTCTGTACTGAATTGAAACCATAATTTATACTCAGTTTCATAAAGTAATCAAGACTATCTTATTTAGATGAAAAAAATGGTTTCTGTGTACATTTCAATGCATTTAATAGTGTATTATCAGATACATTGATTAACCTTGAGAAATATGAATACTAACTGAACAGCAGGAGAAATAGCAGAAAATGTGTGTAGAATTTAATTGAGTTTCTGACTGTGATTGAGTTAAAAAAAACAAAAATGGTGAACAAACATTGTGAAACAGAGTGGATAGTAGGGCTGTATCAATATCAATATACGTTCTTATGAACTGATAAAATACTGATAAGCAATTGAAAAAATTATATACAGCATTAATGTTGTTGAAATTTTTGAATCGTGAACAGATGTTCTGTAATAAAATGGTTATACATCAATTAAATGTTATTGTGAAATTAATAATGGATCTTAGGGTAATAAATCATACATATGTCACTGGACAAATGTCCATTAACATTAAAATTTTGTAGGACTTGCATGATTTTCATTGAACATTAATTTTACTTTCAAATATAAAGCTTTTATGCAATTCTGTGATATAAATTATTATCTAATTGTCTTTTCAACTTCAGTTTTGGTGCTTTAATGACTTTAGTCGTTGAGGTTTGATTATCTCAGCAAATTTATATTATCATTTGAAAAATGTTAATTCTCTGAAGTGCTGTCATTTGTTAAGGAAGAACGATATAAACCATGATTTTAAATGCTTTTAATTTACATTCTCAAGTGTCTGTTTTATATTATACTTCCAAACCATACTTAAACAAATATCAGTTACTTACATTTTACTGAATATGACACTGTGTAATGTGCACACTTTTCTGGAAATTCTTTGTAGGCATGTTAATAACATTATTAAAATGTTTTGATTCTTGATTTTCTAACCATCTTGTTAAATTTTTAAGTATAATGTTTTAGTAATAAGATGGGAATATCATGAACCATGATAATGGTTCATAATATGCATCACAAGGAGTTGTACAAACCCTAATAGAGCATTCAGGCAAAAAGCACCTTAAACAGTAAAGATTCAGTTCAAAAACACTTTAAAAAATTTGCTATTGGCTGCTAAGGCTGTACACATATAAAAAAGCATGCATGTTAGACTTACAAGGAAAGAAAAACATCTTAAAATGTTTAATCTTATTTATAAATATAAATCTTATATTTCTTCTTCCTCTTCTCTGGTCAGCCTACATCAAATATGACTTGTATATTTGCACACAAACCTTAGTATATTAAATAAGGAACTGCGAAGTTGCAGGGATACTGAAAAATTGATTTGTTTCTTCTATATTTTACATATGCTAAAAACATCATAGTTACACTATAAGTGGTGTGTTATTATTACCCCTTGAAGTTATTTTTTTTTACAAATATCTGGTGTACCTTTAAAATGCTTAAGTACAGGGTGAAACAAAAATTACCAGGCAATAATAGATGAACATTAGATGACTGTAACTTGCAGATACTCAGTGCTTTGTACACTATACAACTGGCGTTTTTAGGGATGTATGAAGGAGTAAACAACAACCAATTTAAAGCAATTTTTTAGACATGTACATTTTAATTGAAAAGGCTGCTTTTCTAATGATAAAATGTTCTATGTGCTTAGTGAAGGTTGTGTCTTAGTCTAGACTTGTAGTTGCCCATTTCTGTGTATTATATATATAGAGAATTTAGTTACACAGAAAGTATAAATTCTCATTATGTTCTCAAACATGATAATTATCAGCTGCAGTTTTTTAACATTTTACATCTCGAACTAATGCGATCAAATAATCAATAGCTACATTAAATCATCATGAATCATATCAGCTAGCTACTAGCTATGTTTATTATCATTACAACGTATAAAGTTAGCTACCATATCAAGTAATCCTTTGCCCATAGTTGAGCATAAAAAAGCCATCAAACAAGATAGATAAAAAAATTGGGAATTTAAAAACCTCCAACTAGGGATCGTAAAAAATGTAAGCAAACAAGACTGGAGATACTATAGACATTATTTACTCAAACTACAAATCCCTATTTTGACTTCAGCAAATGTAATTCTAGGTAACAGCAAGGAACCAAAGTATGAGTATTTCCAATTTCTCCAAAATAATTTATTTTGTATAGAAATTTTATATATTTTTAACTTGCATTTTTTTGCTTTTTGTTAAATGTACAAGTCTATAAAAGCCTGTACACTACTGTAAAACATCTGTTTACAGTAAGTGAGAGTTCATACACCATTGAAAGTACAAGTTACAAACTTAACTAAGGAACTAACATGTTCTGTTGTGCATTCTTTTACCAATAAGGTGTTGTGGCCTACTTGCACAGAATCTGGGACTGATATCTGGGACTGTATATCATAACTGTTTTGTTTAAAGATGTCTGGTACAATGATAGTTTGAAAAAATATTGTTTATTCATGAATGGTTGGAAATTTGTGGTTCTCATAATGTTGTGTTTAGGAAAATTTGTTTTTAATCTTGGTAGACCAAAATTGGATCTGTGCACTATACTGCAGCTTATTTTCTGTAATTTTTGAACCTTTTTGAGGACCACCCGAAGAGAGCCTATGGACCTTCTGTGGTCCTCAGACCACAAATTATGAACCTCTTTTATAGATGATTGGAAAATAATACAGAGTAACATTATACTATTATTATTTGTTTTCTTTTCAGTTACATGGACAGTAAAACTGATAGGCAAAATTCTGTATTGTAAGCTGATACTGATAGATAATGATATTTCAGTACAGACACAGTGCAAAGTAATATTTAATACAAAACTAATAAAAGTGACATGAGTCTACAGAATACACAGCAATGCTGTTCTACGAATGAAGAAAGCTCTTATCATATAATCCAAATGAAGAGTTGAAATCAATTTGAATATGTTTTGGAAAATATAGTGACTATAGCCAGAAACCAATAACATCATCTCTCCCAGAGTACAATTGTTATGGCATTGTTAATTTCTTCAGCAAAAAA